AGAAGAAACATTTAAATCAGTACATCTGGATCCAAAGTAGTCACGCATTTTTATTCTGTGTCATTGTTCAATAGTAATAATACATTGATAAAAGTGTTTCCTTATTTCATATTTCATTTTGATATAAATTATTTCCGCACACACACACACATAGATACATACGTACACAGATGATTTGGAATACGGAATCAAATTAGAATATATATAAGCTCACTCTTTCTTTTCTAAAGTATGTATATATATAACAAAATTATAGAAAGATAGAGAGGGTAAGATTTAGTATCTTAGTTATACATAGTTTTAACATTGAATACAATGAAAAGAATCATAATACATTCTTAATCTTCTAAATAATTATTGTAACATTATCACTGATGTAAATGGGCACCATTTTTACTCTTCTCATTACCGCCTATCATTTCTTTCTTAATGGTCAATATTTCTCTTAGATAGAAAAAAAAGTTCTAAAAAGGAATAGAATGGTATTGATGCAATACGTCTGTAGACCACTTTACAAAGGTGATTTAAATAAAAGCGAAAATAATGATTATATAACATTTTAGCATCTTATGAAAAAAGAAATTAAGATGGATGGGAGAGAGAAAATAAATGGGATAGCATAATATATATGATGATGATACAATGACATGAAAGAATAGTTCCCTCTGATTTCTTTTTTCGTTTCTTCTCTCTTCAGTGGTGAATGTCTTTGACTAGATTGTTTTTTTCTCTCCCTGTATAAACAATGAAAATATTTGTAAGACAGTATTACTTATATACATTAATAAGTAGGTCAAAAGAGTAAATTGTTAGTAGTAGGTGATAACACCCCTACATTTCAGCTATAACGGATGATAAAGCCCTTTGAAGCATCTGATTGGCTTATTTGAATAGTATGATTTACCCGAGTGGAACACATATACCCGGGTCAGGAAATATGTTCTCGGTTGGAAACCGTAGGTTAAAAAACTCAAACAGATTGAATTCTCTTTACTTCACATGTACATTTACACCTAAAATAATTAGATAGATCAATATATGCACTCCATAGCATACACATAAGGATAAACATCATTGTTAATAGAGTAAAATGGTTTTCATTCCCATATTTTAGATATGTTATTGTTAATGATTAGCAATATTGACTGTTCTATTTCAAGTATACATGTATGCCTGAAATACATAGATCAAATCGACCTTTGAATCTCATAGGTATGTATGTGCTCTTATATCCAGAGTGAGTAAAATATTGTTAATCCGGAATTACGATAGAGTAGTGGATTAGGTTAATCTTCATCGTTCGCTCATAGTCCCATTATTCATCAAGCAACGAGAGAGGGTATGGGTAGGATATATGTTTATAACATTTATCAACATAGAAAATTCCATCAACTGATTACATAATTTTCAACTCTTTCGTATGATATTTTACAATAAAATAAATAATGCATTAATAGCTCAACAGAATTATAGGCAGCTGATGAATGTTATTTAAAAAACGAAACTATTGTCAAGTAAATTATTCCATCAATTTCGTTCAATTATTAGCTGTTACAAAAGAAAAATATACAAAGTTTATACTGATCCCGCCCACGGGATTGTGGATGAGCATTGTTGAGGTGTCCTATACTAGGACGAAACGGCCATCCAATGCATCCAAGCTTTCTATAATAGTCTTTATTTATCTATTTGAACAAATAGAATTTGGTACAAGGGGGCAACAAATACATAGGGCTGTGATACTGCCCGGGTTTCCAGACCGAAGCAGGTGCTTTTCTTAGGAGACCACACCCGGAGCCTTTGACCTAAAGGTCTGATCCACAAGGCAGTGGAGCATCATGAGGAGATGCAGTCTCATAGTAACCGGTGACCAACAATTGGTTCATACGCCGTTTGTTCACTCAGGATACAGGAGCCCATGTGCACCATTGGTTTGGGATCCGGTTAAAGCGCCAGAAATTCGTTTTTCGTCCTCTCATTTCCGTAAACAACACCCCCGCCACGAGAAGGCAGTGAGTAGGACTTCCCTAGTAGAGGCTATATACGCTTGGCCATTTGAGAGCGTTTCGACCATACCAGGGCATTTGGGGGCTCTATAATAGTCTAGTTTCAATTGATTCATAAATTCAATTATTCAAATCACTACAATCTTCACAAAACTCCCTTTCTGAAAAATTGAAACCTTGAAAATAATCAAATAATATTTTTGTTCAATTATTCATAATAATTCAATTATACAATTAACTTGTTTTAACTAATTATTTCCCAATTTGTTAAATATCGATTGATCAATCAGAATACGAAATCACCCAATATTATTATTATTATTATTATTATTATTATTCGTAGTCTTCAGTTAACGTCCGCATGCACACACACATGCACACAAACGCATACATGGAAACACACATATTACATGGTTTGTAAAACAATATGTATACATCAATTTAATTTAGATAAATCTAAGACAGATATCTTCTTGTAATTTTATCAATGTGTTTATCTAGTTTAATGTGTGTACCAATGAAAACATAAGGCTAGTCATATTGTTCAATTCTGTGTTCTTGTTGTTGTTGTTGTTTAAATGCAGTTTAAGCATGATTTATCTTATTTTTCAATTAATCTAGTGTTTGTAATTCTTTTTGATGAGGCACCGAATGTCTGAAAAATTCTTTGTTTTGGTCTTTTATGTTTCTAACAATATAATAAGAATATTTAAAGTAAAATATGTGAACTTTTTCTTAGTTAATTGTGTTTTGTTTGTTACTGTATACAGTGGTATTTTGTAGAATAGAGAATGGGATAAATAATTCTATTCGGAATGATAGCCAATTCGCCTTCAGTATATACATAGATAGATAGATATAACTATGCTCGTGTGTATGTGGTGTATGTGTATGTAAGAGTGAGTGAGTGAGTGGGCACTTGACTTAGTGAATGTATGCTACTGAATACATACACTAATATATCGAATAATGAACTGTCATCTTTTATGATTTGCTTTTCAAACATATTCGCAATACGCATATTATTGATGTATATGTATACGTGTACACTCTTCTTTATACACACGTACATGGGTATGGATAATTTGAAGAGGAAAAAAAGTGGACAGACAATAAATATACGAATATACAAACTTTCGTATCATATTTACAAAGTCAGTTTTTATAGAAGAAACCATTAAGCCAATCGACCAGATTACAATAAAATCATAGAAACTAACATATTAGTGAACATACACTACTATTAATAATATTCATACTATTTCTCTTATCAAAAACTTAGTTAGTAGTAGTAATCATAACAAAGGAATAAATAACAAAAAAGAACTACATCGAGTAAGAAAAGCAAGAAAGAGACATTAAAAGAAATAGGTAAAGAAAATCGAACTCATGGTGAAAGAATTTTGTTTTTTTCCAAAATATTTTTTTGCCTATTTTCTTGTTTATTTGACTTAATACGTTTTGACAGTTCGGGGTCAATCATCAACCAACCCATTTCATATACATTCAAATAATGGTGCGTATATATATATATTATATATATATGCCTATATGTGTTGTTCCATGATATACATGTATGTTTATATACATTTGATAAATTACTATAACTACATATGTTCTATATTGTTTTTGAGAGGATACTAGTTAAATGAAGTTGTACACGCAACTATGGATGGCTGTATGTTTGAATACAAAATAGACATGAATATATGATAAATGGTCATGTTTTGTATGTGTTTATTTACGTTGGTTTTTTGATGAGGTTGGATGGAGAAATCTAAACGGAACCAAATAACAACTGTTACAACAATAATAACAACAGTGTAGTAATATTCTTATTCATACTCCCTTCTAGAATATATTTCCTTTTAGAGGTTATGTGTTTGTATGCATTTTTGTAAGTCTTCCTCTCCCCTCCTCTCTCTCTTTTTCTCCGCCTTCTATTTGCTTCCTTTTCTTAGAGCACTGAATAAAAAAATGATTAGGGAAATCGATTGTTTTTAAAGGAGAGAAAAATTATTCCTACCACTGTACATGATATTTATCTTCCCAGATTTAGTTTCTCCCCATTTTTTCATTATTATTATTATTATTATTATTATTATTATTATTATTAGTATTAGTATTATAGTATTAGTATTAGTAGTAGTAGTAGTAGTAGTAGTAGTAGTAGTAGTAGTAGTAGTAGTAGTAGTAGTAGTAGTAATGGTAGTAGTATTGTCGTATGTTGACGTGATCAACTCAATGATTAACAAAAGATTTCCACTTTATCGTCATTAAAATTAATACTAACTGGTAAAGAAACATTATTAGTAGTATATATTTGTGAATGAAAAAAATAAATGAAAATTCCAACTTAGGAAATTTGAAGACATTACGTAGATATATACTGTTGGACTGATTATTACTATTATTAGTATTTGATTAGAGAATGTCTTGGAAGCATTATTCACGTATAATACAATCAATGACTTAGAAATTTTAAAGTTCGACATAGGATAGAAAAACACAAGACAATTAACAACTGGTTAATAGGATCCACATCAACTAAGTTGGTTAGGATATTATTTTGTGTAAGTATAAGTGGGGGATAATTTCAATGATGGTAATCATTTTTATGATTTCACGACTCCGAATGCGGGATTCGAAACCAGAACATTTGACCTCGCATGCGAACACAACCTCCCGCATGTGGGACCCTGAGTGTATACTATTGAGGATTTCCATACCAGGACGAAAAGACCGTCTAGTGCTTTCAAGTTTTCAATGATGGTCCAAAATTGATAGATTCAATATATCAATAAAAAATTCAACAATCTTCACAACCCCATCTTGACATAGAAGTACACTAAACTTCATAATAATAACAATTCATATTATTGGAGGTTTTCTGCATTATTTTATTATCAACATTTTAAAATTGTAATTGATTGGTTAATCATACTCTTCCACTTTGTGATCCTTGTTTTTCTTCATTTGTTTTCTTTTTTTCAGAACTCTCCTGATACTTATACATCAATGCCTCGTATTTCAACTAATCGAAATACATCTGTATATTCTTCTTCTTCTTCTTCAAGTAATAAACAACTTAGTAATAGTAATAACATGACTAATACTAAAACATCACCAGCTGATATAAATTCCACTTGTGATGAGCATAATAATAATTCTAATATAAATACTATTCCTACTTCTATCACAACTACTTCAACATTAAACCTTCATAGTCATCATCCATATCATCCTGCCAATGTGTCGTCAACAACAAGTTTGTCATCTTCAACATCAACGTCTATTTCTACTGCCTCCTTATCCACTTCATCTATTGATCCCGGTTTAGCAACGATGTCTAATTTAAATACAACATGTATTGGTACAGATCAGTCAACAGTAACAACACCAGCATTGTTGACAAATGAATCATCTAATTCATTATCGTCAAGATCATGTGATTCAACAACATCTAATCTTATTGTAAATTCTCCTAATCGTTCAGTAACGACAACAAATAATAACAACAATACTAACAATAATAATGTTAGCAGTAGTAATAGTACAACAAAACGCAAAAATAGTCCAACAACTACTGAAGATGATTTAACTACTGCCAATACAAATAATAGTAACAATAATAATAATAATATACAATCATACTATTCCACAACATATCCAAACACATCAACAATAGCTGGATCTAATAGTTTGATGCATAGTGGAATTTCTATCGCAACCGGTGGAATAAACAATAACACCAATACTATGAATAATAATAATTCCCATCGTTTATCTTCAAATAATCCTGTTACTGGTGGAACACATTCCCATTTAAACTATTCTGATATTAATTCAAGACATGTTGGTAATAATATGTCACAGTCGAATTTGTCTAATTCAACAGCGTCAGTGACAGCTTCCACTGGATCAGCAAGTATACCAGGTGGAGCCAATTCAGGATCTTTAAATAATGCTGTAAATATTGGACATGGTATGAGCAATGCTGAAACAACTATTCATAAAGCAAGATCAGCTTTATATGAGTAAGTATATATTGTGGTTTTTAAAGATAAAAAATTATGTCTGTCTGTCGAGTATATATGTCATAGACTGGTATAATCAAAATCATTAGAAATTATTGGAAAAGCGTTTTGTCCTTGTCTGGATTTCGTCAGTAATGTGTATTTATAATCCCAAACAGAATGGAATCTAGGAAATAGAATTTTCTTAATATTTAACTTAGTTTTGAAAATCAGTCAACATACATAAACACGGAACTAACTATTCAGTGTTTCCTGATTCCCAATTATTTTCTGTATGATCCCATTCTGCTACTAAAAACATATTCCATTTGTAAGGACTTTATAAATGTGTTGTTTAATATCATGTACTGAAATTAGTTAGACAAGTATTGTAAAACAATAACAATGGACAGATGTTTCGTTTTAGTATGGAACTCCACAGGAATATGGATCCAAAACACCACCAAGTGTTGCACCCAGGACTTTTAGGTTTAGTGTTGATTCGACGTGTTTTCTTGCAATTAATATACTTTTCAAATTAAGCAAAGCTGAAACTTCCTACATCTGCATAAATATATAATTTGTAAGAAGAAATGACATTGTGATATCACCAGGTCAAAACAACATGCATGTATCACTTCTACATGAAAGAGTATCATTCTTTTCGACTTACATAAACTCTTTGGTAAGTACATCACAACACTAGTGGGAGTTTCAAACAACGTAATTTTCCCAAAATACTAAATGATTCTAACGCTTCTTAGAAGTATTGTAGTAAGCCCATTCAACTATTGTATTATTTATCTGCTCACTGTAATTTAGACACTTGATCCACCATGTAATTTTCTGTGTGAGTCTGATTGAGCACATGTCAATTTTCAATCTATTCTCCCATTGGTTGTAATACACAGACAATCAATAATTTATCCATACTTGATTCACACTCACAAATATATAAGGGTTTTTAACACTCACACACTCTTGTTTTCCCTGTGTGTTTGCTTCCTGTACGCTTGCGGATTTTACCAATCTTTGACTATAAACTATCTCTATAAATGATGTTCAGGCTTTTGAATAATCTCGAGTAAATCCATAATTCCATTTAGAGATTTAGCCTGCATTAAATACTCAGTTAACGGGATACTATTTATTGGAGTCAGATATAGGGGAAATTTCCCTCTACACTATCAATCTCTGTTCTACTAGTATCTAACAATTTCTTATTAGCATAGGTAAATTTTCCTTATCGTCAGAACTGTAAACTTAAAAAGAGTCGTACAACTATTGTTTTGTGTAAATGTTCTGCAAATATTGTACTCTGATTGAATAAACACTATGGAGCTCAGTCTATTCGGGATTAAAATTAAGTTTGTTTAAATGAATCTAATTACCTCTGTTTCATAAGAATCGATCTATCATGTATTACTTGATTGGTTGAGATCAGCCTAGTCAACCAATCAGAATGATCGGATTACCTGATTGGTTCAAAATTCAGATGGTTTCTCATTATTTCCATATGTATTCAAATATTCACTTATATTCCTTTGATTTTTCAAATTACTTATTACTTATTACTTTAGCCATAGAAACGTTAATCTATTCACTAGTTAATTAAGTGTTTATGGATAGTTCAGTCCTGTTTGAAAGTCATTTTATTTAGGCAATGAAATCGACTGAGAGGGAAAATGTACTCATAGTTCCTTTTTATCCTAAGTTTTGATTGGTAAAACTATTTCGCTGCTGTAATTTCATCAAAAGAGTCAAATTATATGATTTCATTCCATAGTAAAGTTGAGATCCAACTCTTATACTCTTAGTGTTATAATCCTATCAGTAATAGTTTTACGGATTTAGCTTGGAGATGGAAAAGAAAAATTAAATGTTGCTAAAAATATAATCATTAATTGTAGATCAGTTGTCGGTTACCACAAACATCAACTGAAGAACTGGTAAAAATCTTTGTACTTGATAATAATAATAATAACATGTATATTCGTAGGTGATTTATGATTGTCCTAAAGGGGGAATAAGAACTATTTCTTCATCTTAATGTTTCATACATTAACAACGGTTGTGCAATATTATACTTGACACATGAAATGACAGTGTTTTACTTGATATAATATAACTGGGTTTACAGGCGGAAGGTCCTGGGTTGGGGTTCCTCGTGCGATATCGTGGATGTGTACCATTGAGGAGTTCCGTACTAGGACGAAACGGCCGTCTAATGCTTCCAGGTTTTCAATGATAATCTAACATAGATCCATTCATGACACCAATCTAAGTTTACTTTATATTTAAAAGAATCAAAAAATCCTCGTTTATTTTAGTGATTTTAAAGATAATATCATTCCATAGGTTAAAGGAAGCTGGATCGTTATATTTTATTCAATCAACTAATATTGATTAGCTGCTTACTATAGGGTACGACATCAGTTTATGAAGTTACTATTCTCTGGTCTAATTTACATTGCTAAATACAAACTGACCTATTGTAGGATCTATACCATATTTGTAACCAGTTGTTATCGACTGATTTACTCACTGAGCGACTGTTTAGTATCTGCATCCCAGAGTTGACATTCACTTCGGGACTCGAATCCAGTACCATTCGCTACAAACACCATCGTTTTATCCACTTAGTTACTGAATCCTGATAACCACTTGCTTATGCAATGGAGTGAAGTTTAAATTCATTTTTTATTGTTTATTTTAATGTTCCGATTGATGTTTAAGACTGCAATTGATCAGTCTCTTTTCGGTATATATGTATCCTGTGTGGATTGACTCGATATTACATTAACTTACAAGCATTATAAGCAAAGATGGATAGTGATTAGCAGTGGAATTCAGGAATTTATGTAAATATTGGTTTGAAAAATGGAACCTATAGACAAAGAATAATCTTTGTCATGTTATCTTAATCCCATCTAGCTGTGATTTATCAAACGAATGAAAGTTTTTTCTTAAGATTTAACTACTGAACAGAATTTATGAATTCTATCTGGTATGATATTTAAAGATCTGACTTTGTGATACCATAAATTGTTGTCAATATTTAATGATTGTGACTTTATTTCACACACACAGAGAGAGAGAGAGAGACACAAAATATCATCGTCATAACAATAAAGATCAGTGTAGTGTAGAGAAATTTTCATACCGTTTGTATATACACATACATATCTATGTATATATATATAAGACAGTATAGTCGAATATATAGATAGATACAGGGAAATAGAAAGATAAGGCATTGATGTTTGGCTATTCAAACGATAATACCATAGATGGATATGTGCTTATTTATATGTTGGCGTTGTTGCTTCTACCATTATGGATGTTGTTAGTTTAAATTCTAAAATTCCATTTATCAAATCTGTCAAAATTAAACTATTTTACACAAGAGACTATCACAATGTTGTTTAACTTATATGAAATTTCTATACACATAAACAGGAATTGGTCATGTATGGCTGTAGGTGTATATATATATATATATGTATCGGTATGGTCCCCTTTCATTTTCACCTGTGATGATTATTCTTAGTATCATATAATTTCTTTTAAAAAAAAATCATTCCTTATTGCTTCTGCCTTTGCATAGGTATTTACGTATGCGTATGCGTATACATGTAGGCTATAGAAAGAAATTCATCATGATAATATATAATTTTTTCCCTTTCGGTTTCCCTTATTCTTTTCTGTCTTCCTATGTAGTAAACATTGCTAAATTCTGTTTGTTTGTTTGCTTACTCGTTCATTAGCTTATATATGTCTATTCAAATCTGTTGTATTTCCGCTTGAAAATAGTAGTAGTAGTAGTAATATTAGTTATTATTAATCTATGATAACTTGTTCTCATAACTTGTTCATCTAGTCACGTTAATTTAGCTACTAACGGAATAAAAAGGTGAAATTAGTTTCATAAAATTTCTTTCTTAATTTTTCATCCTACCGATACAGAATAACATAGTGTCCTTGTGTGTGTGTGTGTATGTATGTGTGTGTATATATGTATGTGCATGTATTTGTCACAAAGGTAACACATAAAAACAAAGTCACAAAAAGACAGAAGGCTAGAGCAATAACAAATATCGACACTTCCACTAATTTATTTATTTATTTATTTCGATCTTATTCTAAATAGGATTGGCGCGTTTCCATTTCCTTGTTTACTGTTATAATTTCTTCCTATTGCGTTCTTTTCCGATGATCTTATGTCAAGATAATTCGTTTTTCTACCAAACTTTTCCTGGTTAACATTCTTTTTAAGTTAAAACCCTATTATATATCTATATATCCATATATATCCATAAAGCTTTTAATCATTTATCTTCTGATGCTCTCTCTCTCTCTCTTCCCTCTTTCATTTCTACCTTCCCTCACCTTTCTTTTCTTCATATCCATTAGTTTCTATCATTATTTTCCACGCTCTTTCTTTCGTGTTTTTTTTCTATTTTTCATTCATTCTATAGGCATTATTATTGTGTTTTGCCTGACTTTTTTGCTACTAGAATCGATCAATTCTTGGTGTTCTTTAAAATCAAAAGAAATATACCTTAGAGATAAATAATATTTAGACTTAAAAACATAGAGGTTAGGGTTGGGGGTGGGAAATGTGGAAAACTACAAGATATAGAAACAAACAAACTACTAGGCAAAAAAACCAACAAAACAATCTAAAGAGTTTCATTCTAAGTAATTTAAGATATCAAAAACAATTTGAAATTATGATCAGTGAAAGAAAATCTCTTTTATTGATACAATCATTACTAAGAAAATAAAGATTTATGTTTAACAATAAACATACATGGATATAGGATCTCAGATTTGTGGGGGTTTTTGGATTCACCATTATGAATGTGTTAGGGGGACTACGTGGTTTATATAATAAGTATGTACTTGAAGTAAGATTTTTGAAAAATGTATTTTTTAAATGTGACATTTTAAAATCTAAGAACGAAAACCTCTTTTTTGAATATCTGCAATGATACAATGCTGGGATGATCACTGACTTC